GTGGTTATCTGGCCAGGTTAAGGAGCGAAGGAGTTCTCTACTGGCATCCTCCGCCCCTGTCAAATGCGCCATATGCAGCGGAAGGACATGGTTGTCTGGCGAGGTCGCGGAGCGAAGGAGGTCTGTGGGACAATTGCGACACCAATCAATGACCCATCGGACGAGGTAGATGACGTTGACAATTACGAACATACACAAGGCGAGAAAGGAATAGTTCGATTGCCACGGTAGCTCGTGGGGGGGGGCGGGGGGCCGGGCTATTGGTTGGTGCGGTGGGGATTGTTACAGGGCCGGAGAGATCGAATAGAGATTTCGGGGAGGCGTGGCCCAATGGGAAGGGCTGGTATGGCGCGGAGCCGTTAGGAGGGAGCGCTGCGCAGGAAAAGAATGAGTACGCTGCATTCGGCGTCCTGCCCTCCTCCAGTGCCTGCGACGCGCTGCAAGTGGCATATCGCCCGTTGGAGGCACCGCTGTGACCCCGCCTCCCCCCCCCGCGTGCGCGTGCGATACCGTGGCGCTTGCTTTCCTTTTTGCGAGTTCGAATCCTTGTTTTTTGCTTCATTTCTCTTGTCGGCGCTTGTAAGCAGCCGAACCCTCCGACCCGCGCCATCACACGAGTCCTCACGCCCGACACGGCCCCTTTTTACTACAGCATTCTATATGCATTCATGGAGTGGCTGCAAAACCGTAAGCATATTGGCGATGCCTCCGAAACTCCCAAGTGCGAAATGGCGAAACGCGTCGGTTTACTGATTCCATGTCGGTAGTAATACCCGCCTTCAAATATTGTGTCACCCTGCCTTGGCTGCTGAGCATCGAACTTGAATCTCTTCTGGCCGGCCTATTTCTGACCAGCTTTGCGGTACCCTTGAAGGGTACGGCATGCTACTGTAACTCCTCAATGATCACATCCACGTCCCCCACTTTGTCCCCCACTTTGTCACCCACCATACCCGTGCTGTTGTGCTGTTGTGCCACGGAAGATTCAACCGCGACCAGCAACACATCAATCGCTATCCGACCTTCTAATTAGGACATCTGATCATCTGATGGTGATTTACACGTGCGCACACGCGTGAGGCGAAACCAAAACTTCAACGATCAGACCTCCAGCTGAACTCAGCTACTCAAGTAGGCGAGTTAAGAAAGGCCCTGCCCAGGGCCTTTCTTGAGGGCCTTACAGTACTTGGCCCATTTCGAAACGTGAATACACGTCACACACGTGTTCAATGCACAACCCATAATTCTCAAATTAACATCGTCGGCCTTTCTTTGATCCGCCCACCATCTTCGTTGTACCGCTCCGCACTTGCCAAAAGTCCGCCCCGCCGCCTCTCTTGCTCCCCCACCTCCTCCCCACCGTCCCTGTTTGCTCTCCACAACCACGTGCGCCGTTCCCCTCCTTCGCGCAAGCCCGCTTCCCGTTCCGCCGAAGCTGCGCCGCGCGGGACCGCCGGAACCGGGCGACATCGCCATGGCATCGCCCACGCCGCGCTTCCAAGAGGGCGTGGAGCGCACGCGCATGGAGCGCATCGGCGCCCACTCGCACATCCGCGGCCTGGGCCTGGACGAGAACCTCAACGCCGCCCCGAGCGCGCAGGGCCTGGTCGGGCAGCTGGAGGCGCGCAAGGCCGCGGGCGTCATCGTGCGCATCATCGAGCAGGGCAAGATCGCGGGCCGCGCCGTCCTCATCGCGGGCCAGCCCGGCACGGGGAAGACCGCCATCGCCATGGGCATGGCACAGGCCCTCGGCTCGGAGACCCCCTTCACTAAGATGGCCGCCAGCGAGATCTTCTCGCTCGAGATGTCCAAGACCGAGGCCCTTACGCAGGCCCTGAGGAAGAGCATCGGCGTTAGGATTAAGGAGGAGACAGAGCTTATCGAAGGCGAGGTTGTGGAGATTCAAATTGATATGCCGCTCACGAGGTCGTCGGCCGCAGGGATGGCGAAGAGTGGCAAGCTCACGTTGAAGACCACGGAGATGGAGACCGTGTATGACTTGGGTACCAAGATGATTGACTCGTTGCAGAAGGAGAAAGTTACAAATGGTGATGTCATTACTATTGATAAGGCCACGGGAAAGATCTCAAAGCTCGGGCGCTCGTTTGCGCGGTCGCGTGATTATGATGCCATGGGGTCTACGACGAGGTTTGTTCAGTGTCCGGACGGCGAGTTGCAGCGACGGAAAGAGGTTGTACACGTCGTCTCTCTGCACGAAATTGATGTCATCAATTCACGGCAGCAAGGTTTCTTGGCATTATTCGCGGGGGACACGGGTGAGATTAAAGCGGAGGTGAGGGAGCAGATTGACGTCAAGGTTGCGGAGTGGAGGGAAGAGGGGAAAGCGGAAATTGTGCCGGGCGTTCTTTTCATTGACGAGGTGCACATGCTTGATATTGAATGCTTTTCCTTCATCAACAGAGCTCTCGAGTCGGAGCTCGCCCCAGTCCTTGTCGTGGCGTCGAACCGCGGAATCACTCGTATCAGGGGGACCACATACAAGTCGCCACATGGCCTTCCACTGGACTTGTTGGATAGGTTGCTTATTATAACTACCAAACCATACAACGAGAAGGACATTCGACAGATCTTGCAGCTACGCTGCGAAGAAGAAGACGTGGAGATCACGGAGAACGGACTAAACCTTCTCACGCGTATAGGTCTGGAAACCTCACTGAGATACGCCATGTATCTAATCACCTCTTCAGCACTCGTGTGCTCGAAGAGAAAGGGGACAGAGGTAGACGTGGAGGACATCAAGAGGACGTACACCTTGTTCTCCGACGTCAAGCGCAGTACGCAGGCCCTGAGCGACTTCCAAGACGAATATATGTTTAATGATGTCTCTCCAAAGTTGGTAGATGCCGCCTCGAAGGAAGCGACAGGCGATAGTGATGCTGTCATGGACGCGGCAAGTGCCCCTCCAGCAGAGGTGACCACGAAAACAGAGGCAATGCAAGTCTAAGTTGTACATATGAAATTAACGAGACGGGTTTAACATCGTTTGAGTTGTATGGATAAACCGCTGAAAAGACAAACGATGTGCCGGTTGGCGCCGTCCGTAACCATCACACCAGAAGAATAACGTACAGTGAAGTACATTATCTACGGAGGTTCCGGAGAGGACTCTGAGGAGAGGGGGTTCCATTTGATCATATGCGACGATTTAGCAGCAGGGAGGGGTCCCACCCTACAGCAGACCTTACCACCCTCGTTGAAGTAGGTGGGTGGCGCAGTTAGACTGACCTCCTGTCTTCCGTGGGCGCCGGCGCGGAGAAGTTGTATCTGGCTGGCAAAGCATCCCGGTGGGCGTTGCGGGCAATGGAGCTGTGCTTTCGTTAAAAAATTATCATCAAATTTGATTTCCTTCTGCTTTGTTTTTTGCTTTCTCTTCGGCGCTGCCGTTCGCAGAACTACTTTTTTTGGCTGACCCCGTTGAACACTAACTGTCGAAAAGTGCACAACGTTCAATTCGAGACTGTCTTACACTGCTCACCAATATCTTGGAACCCATTGCGATCATCGTCTCTGGGTGTCGCCAAAATTCAGTCTTCACGCAGCATTTGCATCGAAAGCGCTCGTGACAATCGGTGCGTGCGTTTCAGTCTCTTCTCACCTGACAAGCTCCTCCACTGAATGACAGGAGTGGAGGCGTCTGAAATCCGCCTAGGCGTCGCTGTGTTTGGAAGAGTTTCTGGCTTCCCGTGGTGGCCTGCCGTAGTGAGCAAATGCGAGCCCTCTGGTGAATGGCGGAAGGATGGCAAGTTTTGGGTCCGTTTCTTCAACGACCACACGGGTTCCTGGCTCAAGAGTTCGGAGATTCGCTCCTTTGACGATTATAACACGGACCGCTGCCTCGAGCACAACCACAAGGTACCTAAGTTTCGCCGCTATTCCGACAGAGTGTACAAGGCGTGCTCCCTCGCGGAAAAGTACATCTCAAGCCCGAAACGAATACGGATTCGCGTCCTGGGGCCGCGTGGGACGGATGGCGTGCCTCTCGGAGATGAACAGGAAGTCATTTCTATCAGTGCTGCGGATGCACCCGTCAAAGAGGAGGAGAGTGACCCGTCGGGTCATGCAACGGAGCATCGGAAGAATAACTATGCCCGATCGGGTAAGTCTGCTGGCAAACGGAAGAGAAACCAGCCCTCTTCAGATGACAATTCTGTGGAAGAAGAACCCATTGAAAATAAGCCTACGCGTCGGGGGTCGAAGAGCACAGCAGGAGAAGAGCGGACGAAACGCAAGCGAGTGAGATCACTGCGTTATGTAGAGTATATGAGTCCTATGGAAGCTCGCATGGCACATAGGCAAATTGGCCCTAATGTCGAGCACAATGGAAAACATAGCCACAATGACACCGATTTGGGCTTGCTGGACTATTCCCCACCAATGGGTTTGCAAAGTGAAGCTGAAAGGCATCTAAGAAGACCAAAAACAAATGACAATCCCGGCCTCTCCAGGAAATTATCCTTGAAATCAAGCAAAACAACATCAGAGAGAAGCACAGAAAAGCGAAGAGTGAGTGGACGAGGATCTCTTTCGGAAGGCTCATTGCACATATTGCCAAAAAAGGTGGAGCCTAAACTGGTAAAACCGGCCTCCGAGCGAAGCGAAGAAAGTCAAGATGCAAGCACTGAAACTAGAAGAGCGCGCAGTCTAGGGTGCATGCCGTCCCAATGGGGGCTAATCGTCGACAGCTACCAAAAAGGTTAGGTCATCCAACTGGGCGCAGGAGGAGCGTCCGATCGCGCGCAGATTGTAGCTTTGTAGCTCACACACCTGACGCCGATGAAACTGACAGCGAAGAAAACGCGGAAAGGGTCCGGAAGGTCGTATACGGCTCCCTGGAAGCAGTGGCGGAGGATCTGGTTGAGCATGCCGTACGTCAAAGAGAGAGTCCATCAAGAATTTGGAAAGGTGGCCACGTTCTAGATGGAAACTCAATGTCGCTGGGCGGAAGTGAATTGCTATGTTCTATTCTGAACCGGGTCAGCGACCTGGAGCGTGACGTTGCCCTGTTACAGAAGCAATCGACGGTTGAAGAGAAGGCTACCCTTGGAGAGGACCCGTCTGCAGCTGGATTGAAATCAGCAGTGGAGGCTCTCGCTTCGGCAACTGCCGTGTTTGCGAAAGTGCGAGAATATGACTCACTCGCCATCAGCAGGTCCCTGGACTTGCTGTGGGCGGACGGTCACTTTCCTTTACAAGGAGCTGACGGAGAGCTTCTTCGCACAGTGGCGAGATCTCTTGTGTTGGCATCCTGCAGGAGACGGCACGCTGAGAGGTGTTGGGAAGAAGTCCCAGCTATGCGAATGAGTCCAATTAAGAGCGCTAACAAGAAAAGCGTCCCCGGCACATCGCAGTTCGAAAATGTTGAGGGCGAGCCTGAGCGGGTGGTGCAGCAAAAAAGTGATGAAAGGAATGGTAGAATGGACGATGACCCGCGCCATTACCGTAAAGACCCGGTCACTGCAAAAAGGGAGAGGACACCATAAGGGAAAAGAAGCTGCAGACCATTTCAACAAATTGACATGCTGGCTTCTTCTCGAGAAGGGTAAACACCACCCCAAAGACCGGTAATTTTAAGTCGCCCCACTGACCCCTCCAGCACTAGACCAAGCGAGGACCTGGCATTTCTCGGATACGGACCATTAAAGCCTGGTCAGATGTTCATCGTATCGCAGTGACGCCCCGAGACAGAAGACGAGAAGATGTTGTTGCAGATCCCTTCAGAAATATGGCGCTCTTCTGGAGAGGGGGCAGGCTGGAAATAGAATGCAGGTCCGAGGTCTACGCGGCATGTCCGGTTCAGGTAGTCGGGTCTCGAGTATGTTTTGACAAACCACGAGTGAGAAAAACTTTCGTGTGGTCTCATGGCACAGGCGCGGACACATGCGCCTCACCCGTTTCACATTATGGAGCAGGCCTTTCGCATCCAGCCCGATAGCTGTGTCGTGCAGTTTACAATTTTGTCGAGTTAGATCTATCTAGGGCGCCCGAGCCTCCAGTCCCATTAACAGGAGGAGATGGTTTTGGGCCTCCGTTCGCGTGTAGTTGTTGCAAAAACTCTGCACCCGTGCAGAGCTCTGTAGCTCCGTATATCAACGTTTTGCCATTGGGTACGAGTGTCGAATTCTTGCCGTCTTGTTTCACTACCGAGCAAACGTGATCTTGACAGTTTTGATACTCAATGTAATTGCCGGGCCCCACAACGAATAAGATAGCCTCCTTCGCTGGCTTCCCTGCGTGTCCCACGCTACCCTTTGGAGCCTTTGGATCTAATGTCAAGTATCCTTCTAAAATTTCTGTGTCACCCTTCTGCTCCATTAGAGTTTGTACGACTCGAGCTGCCGCGAGCGCTTTGTCTGCGGAAATGATCAACTTATTCACATTGTTTGCGACCTGAGACAGAGTGTCCAGCACAGATGCTGCATACCCGCTCCCAATACTGGATGAGGTCGTAAGCGGGGCTGCTGGCACGCTCGAAATACTCTTTGTGAAGGCCCGAATGCTTTTCAGATAGCTGTATGCCCTCAAATCTGTGCACCCAGCCGCTTGCAGGGCAGCTGTGCAGCGCGATAACTCTGCGTCAGTGGCACTATCCACACATAAATAAAATATGAGGAAGACTCGGAGCTTATCTGTTGGCGTACCCCTCGCATCCCTCAGCAACGCCAACACGCGCCCTACGTCAAACGTGCCAGGTCTCGTCAGCAGCTCTTCCTCAACCTGGAAATATCCATCAAGTCCGCGGTCCTTGATCTGGTCTAGTAGCGCCGTCGCAATGTTTGTATGCAAATCAATCATGCGCTTCTTCTTCGTTAACTCCGGAATGCTGGAAATAGCCGCCGCGAGCTTATTTGCTGTGTTCTCATCTTTGACATCAGCAGTCATGGGGTCGATGGCATTCTCACCAACAGTCCCTGCCGTCCGATTTAGGTCCGCCACCTCTTCTTTATACCGCTGCAAGGACGTCTCGACAGCCTCGGCAACCTTCGGAAATGGCAAGCCGGCATTCTCTGCCCAGAAGAAATCGCTCTTATCCAAATCAAACACTCGCTTCTTCATCGGCGGTGGCATCCCAGGCATCGCCCCGGCTGCATCTTTAACCGGTACCGTGACGCGATTAAGCTTAAGTCCCAGTGTATCATGTGCGAGAGCCTGATATGTCCATGTATGATGTAGCATAACGGAAAGGTCGATGCTGCGATCTACGATGACGAGCAAAGGCCTCGTGACAGCCGTTGCTGAAAAGGAGCCGCCCGACTCTGAGAAGATGTTGTTGCTAGCGATTAAGTGCTCCCTGATCCTCCTTTCCAGCAGTGTGGCCACGAGCTGCGCAGGGCCGCCTCGTTGAGCGCGGATGACAGGAACCGCCGCAAGCGTGACTATAGCGCAAAAGAGTTTGTCGACGATGGTATTCACGCAGGCCTCGACGTCGGCATTAGAGACATTAGTCGCGGTGAGCCCGGTGTACAAGCCGGGCAAATTGAGGGAAAACAGGTTATCCTCCAAGGTTAAAAAGTCTGCGTACATGTCGTAGACCCTCGCGATAGCGCCCGGGGCAGCAACCAGGGAGTTAGTCTGACGCGCGACCGGGGCGGCGGCGACGCCCTCCGCGAGGGTCTCGAGCAGCTCCCTCGACACGCGTGTGGTGAAGTTAACCCAGAGGCTGGCGTACATGCCCTTTGCCGAGTCTGCGCAAATGCGGCGCACATTCTCTTCCGTGGGGGCGACGAGGTACACGGCCGGGACGTCCGGGATGGCGTGGCGGGCCGAGTGGAGCATCATGTGCAGCGTGACGCCGCGCGCTCGCAGATCAGCGACGCGGAGCAGAGGGGCGATGATTTCGCGCGCGGCCGCGTCGTAGATGAGGACCTTCCACACGTCGGATCCGTCGTCGGTCACGTCGGAGGTGGAGGCGCAGGCCGAGAGCATCTGCTCCAGGACGGCGCGCTGGCGCTCCTGAACGGAGAGACGGGCGCCAGAAGCGTCTGAGGGGATGAGGGAATACATGGGGCGGGGGCGGAAGCGGGGAGAAGGAAGGGCACGGAGAGAGGGGGCGACTTAGAGGAAAGGGGCGCGGGGCATGGTTGACGGACGATGTGCAACTGCCCAGCGGGGGTGGGATCACAAGCAGATGGGCCGTGACGTCTTGGTCCAGCAGGGCGGCTTGAAAGGGAATTCTGTCAAGGCCTCGTTCGTGGGCGCGGTGTCAGCCATTGCTTACTGTGCCATACGATAAGCTTAGGATTGAAGACACGTGTGAAACGTGTTTTGCGGCGTACTGTACCATGTTCGCCTCCTGAAAACACGTGGAAGCGCTGTCATCGCATGACACGTGTAACGTATTTCGTACTTATGTTGAGTGCAGTTCACTACACGCAATCGCTTCAGGTGGCTTCTCACCTCAGGGCCTCCTTTGAGAAGACAATAATCGCTTCAGGTGGCCATGGCTAGCTAGCTGTGGGCCGCAGATGCCATCGCCCATGTACAACCGTGTCATAAACGGCACAGAGAGGGTGAGACTCATGGGGACAGGTAAACATCTCTTTTTATAACCGCTATCGGCACCCATTGTTTTAGGGTCTTGCCGGAGTAACGCAACCCTTGAGGACCTTTCAAGATCTTTCTGCAGGCACTTACAGTCTTGTTACTACTAAGATGAAACGAGACCGTCCACGACGCCCTATAAACTCGTCCAGGACGGTCAGTTCCTCTCTAGTTGTCTCACTCTGCAGTGCAACCAGAGAGCGAGCATCCTCCCTCTCCTGCGCATACAGGTTACGTGGAAACGCACCCTCGACATTCCATTCCTCGATCTGTGGCACTGTCTTCAAGCTTCGGTAAGCAATCGTCGAGCATACCCTCCGCGCCAGGCCACGACCCCTTCAGGAAGCATCTAGAAATTTCCCTTCCGCCCACCCCGCCACGTTCACTCTCTCGCTCACCTCACGGCAAGCATTCCACCCCTCTACTTCTTCAGCTCGACTTCCTTTCTGCGCCTCATGCTACCCCGTCGTGCCTTGATTTCGATGCAGCTCCTAGTGCCTCGACCTCACCATCCTACTCTGCGCCTGCGTCCGTAGCACATCCTCCGCTACTTTGGAGAAGGCCTGACACTCAAAATTCCTACCCAACAGGGTCAGCAACCCCAACCTCCCTAGTATCAGATCCATGTGATATTCTTCCTGTACTTGGGACACGTTTATCCGAGTGTCTCCGGATAAACATCAGGTTTGTAGTTAAGAATATATCTGTACAATGCACAACTTGTACCGATTTCCAGATAGACAATCCCTGAAACTCGGCCCCCTTTCGCAACATTGTTCATCACTCACTGCTGATACTTGCACACTCTTGAAGCTCTTGCACGTGACAAGCAGTCAGTTTGGCCCAACTTGGCTCACCCTTCAATCACAAACTGCTCATGCAACAACCTCACTCATTGCTCCTGTAAATATCTGATTGCGGTCGGTCAGAAGACCTACCACCTTTCCATGAGCAATTGACAACAGAGAAATGAAAAGAACTTCCTCATCCCACCATAACTGTAACTCTGTATGACCAATAGATAGCGTCTGTCTTGCCCTTTCCAATCAATCGTCTACGAAACTAAAGACAGAAAACGTATATTCAATTTACAGACTTCCTTGAGCTTTGAAGTAAATAGCACATGACTACTACGACTCAAGTATTCATCAGGGGTCGGCTTCACAAAACGCATTAGTTCGTAACATGCCGTGAAACGTCATTTTGCATCCTTTTATCCGAGCGGAAACCCTCATATACAGCATTTCCGAAACACTTCTGCCTTGAAACAAACCTTCAACGGATAAGTGCTTCAATAATGAGAATGATCCGGCACCAGAAGAACAAGACTACTCACTACTTTCAAAAAGGATGACGGTTCTCTGCTAATTAGGTCGTGTAGAATGCGTGCCGCTCTTGGTGAATACATTCTTTCTTCATCGAAAACGAGAAGCTTTTGCTACATGCCAATAGGAATGATAACAATCAGTGGTTCGGAAGCATTTTATAGTTTTTTGTCAGTAACATGTGAGGTGGACAACAATGTGACAATACTGTGACCGGTATGATCCGCAATTAGTTTCGTACAGTGAAAGTACCAGGGTATAATCTTGCAAGAAGACAACTGTGAACAGAAAGAAGTTTTAACGAACTGTTAATTGCACTAAGCTACATGATAGCTCAGTGACTCTTACATGATAGGGAACGCGACCGAATGGCATGGTCCTGGAATTGTGATTATCTGATATAGGTGTCCTTCTGTGGCCTTTAGTACCCTCACTGCACTCATGTTATCCAACGCCTTCTCTATACTCCCCCATGATGATCGCTCATCGCTCCGCTGAGTGTATCTCTCTGTTTTTCAATTTCCCAAAAGGCTCTCACGACTTACAGGTCGGAAAACTTGGTGCAGTATATGAAAAAAACAGACAGCCGATGTACTTTTCTCCCCCTCCCTTGCTGTCCCACTCCAAGGACTGCTCGTGTAAGGGACGAAAGGCGTAGAATCCGTAGCCCATCTAATATCGCAACAGCTTCGTCAGAACCGATTGTATTCACGGAGCGAAGATGAGCGCACTATGCTCTATCCATAACCACTAGAGGACTGCAAGCAGAAACTTAAATCCCTGTATCATTGCGTAGTATAACCAGATCGTTTCCATTATGCCGCCCCTCGCCCCTTTCGGCAAGTTTCACTTTCACTCTCTTCTCGTGGAAAGTGAAAAAAGGGTTGCCGTCAAGAAACAGACAAGCTGCCAAGTGTGAAGTCGTTGACGTTCGGTGTAGTTGAAGCTAGTCCGACTCGATTAGTGTGGTTGCCAGAAGGGTGGCCAAACCTGCCCCACCTGGAAAGAAGAGTGTCTCTTCAGAAAAGCAGACTGTAATGTAAAGATAAAGCTCGATAGACGGTAGGTTTCACTGCCTGACAGTTGTTCGCCAGTTCTTTAGACTTTAAACTCATTTTCGTGACGGCTGCACCCATACTTGAAATGCGTGCGAGGTATCTAGTGAGAGAATTCGGTATTATGCGGTTTATGATGAACCGTGATAGCCTTTAGTGAACCTGCTAAATAAGATAATTTGCAATGTACTGCAGAGCTGTTTAGTTTGATTTACCGTTCCTGCATATTTTTGATCGTGATGATCTAGGCGGTTAGGAGTTTGCCTAACGAGTGAGGGTATTTCTGGTCGGGAATGGATTCCTTCTCCTTTCCGCTCCATGTGGGTAGCGAGGGCAAACATCAGCCAAAAGAATCTAAATTGGATTTGACCTGCAGCGATGCAAAAATCTTTAGACCCTGAAAAATGGAAGAGGAACAGTTCCATAATTTCATTGCCGCTCTTACGTATAGATGGCATCTGCTAGAAATTTGGAGGAGCTTTGAACACGTTCAGTGACATAGTAATAGCTTCCACATCGGTGTAATGATACAAAGATCCATACGAGTAATTGCAACTCGATTTGAAGTGGAATGTAGGAAGTTGTATAGGGTGGCATTGTGTCCGTCCACTTTTTTGATGAAACGACTTACCACAACAGGAGCTATCAAGACTGCCCATGGACTATGTTTCAGATTGCATAAACTCATTCTCAGGCACGGATACTAAACAATCTTTGTACACTGTTGTCGAAAATGCATCCTTAATTCGGACATCTAACCATGTGTTAAGTGCAAATAGCAAGCACGATCGGAAAACGTTCTTGACCAGAATCTTTCTTCGGGACTCAGTCAGAAGATTTCTACACGTCTGTTGGTGACGAATCCAGAGTCGAGGAATTGAGCAAAATGGCACTTCACACTCCGAAGACTGTGGTTGTTCTTTTCGTCTTCTTGTTTTTGACTTCGAAGGTCAGCGCAAGCCCTCGTTCCGGATGTCGGCTGCGTGGCTGCACTGGAACAGTGTTCAAGATCAAAGATTCTGACCTAAGCCTTGGGTCTTTTTCAAAGGCCAGGTGCGGTGGCGATTGCAACAAATATCGAATTTGTCGGGGAAGAGCCAGATGCCGCATTAAAACGAGAACTGAAGTCACCTGGAACGAAATGCTTGCGCTAGAGAGATTTGCAAATGGCGAAGAAAGCATCTTCAATTGGACTTCGCGGGATGCTGAAGCGGGTGCGACCCTGTCTCGAATGAGCGTATTCTCCGAATCAATTATAAAGCTCAAAGCCGCACCAGTTGGGAAATGTAATTGCCGGTGCAGGGAGAAGTACAGAGATCGATGCCCAAGGACGCCACGAGCGAGCAGTACTGCGCGGCAAATGTTTGGAACCTCTCTATCAAGGGATCCAGAGGAAAGAAGAATTCAGAGGATCAAGGCCTACAACAACTTGTGAAAAGTTGAAGGAGGTTTTGCTGGACACCATACTGGCAGTAGTAATAAAAGTTGTGAAAGGGTTTTTTGTCAAGACGTGAGTGCGGGCGGATATGCACGTTTAGTTCTATGAAAGAGGCGATGCGGTGGCATGAAAACACGCTCTTCTTCAGTTCACATGAAGGTTTAGATTTGGACCGAGTTTTCATGTTACGGGCTGGAGGATGGTCGTTGATAAAAAGCATATTGATAAATTAGTCACGTGTGCATTGTGAGTCCCAGAAAGGTTGTCCGTAAAGCCACGAAAACGCGTGTTTTGGCGGCGTGTTTGCTCATGTTTTCTTAACGAAAAGTTTTCAGACAACTCGCTTGGCAAAACTCACATCATACCGAAAACTTGGGGGCATGTGAGCTTTCCACGCGTTTCACATCCGTTTGATCACAGCATTGCCGGATCGACCCGTCTTGAAGGAAAACGAAGTGGGTTTCCGTTCTTTTCATCAGCGCAAACGAGTCTCAGACTGCACGGGTCGTACCGATACGCGTCATGGACGCCCCTATCGCTTCATCTGCGCAGAGTCCATCAACGGATCAAAGCGCGACAGGATCTGCCACAGATGCCGCCGAAGCAACCGCGAAAGGTAGACAAGTAGAAGCTTCTAAAAAAGTAGTTCTCTCCAGACGGCCCCCCTCAGCCTGTCAAGAAGATGAAACACATCGCTCTTTCGACTGAGAACCATTCTATCCGTGTGGCGAGCTACAATATTTGCTTCAGCGAATATACGCGCAGGTGCACGTGATCTGTCGGGCGGCACAACGTTGTACCAGACTTGCGTTTGTTGCGGGCAGACACCCTGCTGGAGGTCAGTCCCCAAAACCTGTGGCAGAATTTTTCAATCTCGGGTTTACTTAAGTCCAACGATTTTGTGGGCAAATGAAGAAAAAAAAAATAGCGCGTTATCTTACGGACAACCTTAGAGTGTGCTGGATTCTTGGCAGGAGTGCTGAAAACCCATGGCAAGGATTCAAATTCGATAATATTTTGAGACTTATCGTCATTCGGGACATCGTTTACCGAGTACCGGTCTGTCCTGGAGGACAGCGAGGGGTTGTACACGAAGGAAATTCGTTGTAAAGCACAATAGTCAGAGCTGCTACTAGAGACCAAGGCATTCACAGTCGCTTCCTCTCCAAAACTTTTTCTTGCGCGTAAGTACGCTGTTGCTTCTTTTGCCTACCAATGAGATTATCTTCTAGTTGGCCGTAATCGCCTAACGCCGATTCAGTGTGTCAACTGCATTCATGAAATGTCCAGTACTCACAGCGCTTGACACTACAACCATCACTCGCATGTTTCACAGTTTTCTTTTTCAGTGAGGTAGACGCTAGGTGGTAGACGCTAGGTTCGCGCCCGCCGTGAGGGGGGTCTTTCAAAAGCGCTCGCCTTAGACATCGAACGACTGGCCGTATATCTTAAAGAAGATGATCGCTGATCCGAAAAGCGAAATATTTCTCGCGAGCTTCATGTTCACCTAGAGGGAAGATAGAAATCCGTCATTTGCCCGTGGAAGTTGCTGGTTAGCAACCAGTGGTGTGGTAGTTGCGACGATTTGCGAGACAGCGCGCAGGAAGGATCACATACCTCTCGGATTTCGCCGTCACCAAAAGCTTTCGACATTGCGTAGTCAGCAGCCATGGAAATGTCTTCCATAATGGCCATACTGATGATGATAATTATCGAGATGGAATTGAGGGGTGCTAAGACGGTGGCTTGTTGATGAATGAAAGAAATGGGGGAGGTTGCGGAGGAGAAGGAGGTGAGGAGCACGCCGTCGACGCCAAAAGGGGCGTGGTAGCAGGGTTAGCCGAAACCTGTTAAATATTACTGAAATTCCAAAACACGGGAACAAAAAGCTGGGCCCTCGGGCGCATTCTCGGTATTCTCCTTTGAAAGAAGCAATTCAATTGAATTCGTTTCATTGCAGCTGGTGGTACAAGGCCCGTCTTTGTCCACCCGTACCTCCTTCAGCCCTCCGCAAGCACGATACTGAGTTCTTCAGAACTGTGAAGATTGTATCACTTGCCTTCCAGCGGATTGCTCTTGAAGGTCTTTTGCAAGCAGACTAGAAGTCAAATTCACCTCCAGAGAGCAAGCAGCAACTCTGCAGGAAGGCAAAATTTGACCAACCATGACGCCAGGCAATCGCGAAAAAGAGCCATCCACAGAGGAGCACTTGCAGATGTTGATATCCAAGCGAGGCAAAACGCGCAAGTTGTCTGCCTTGCAAGTGCGCATGCAAAAGAAGCTCGACTCTGGCAACTTCCGCATGCTCAACGAGTCCATGTATACCACGACTGGCAATGAGTCTCGTCAGCTCATGCAAGAAAACCCGCATCTCTTCAATGTGTATCATATGGGTTACTCGGAGCAAGTCAAACGCTGGCCGAGCAACCCGCTGGACGACATAATCAAGTTTCTCGCCACACAGGACCCGAGCCTTCGCATTGCAGACCTTGGATGCGGCGAGGCGCGTCTCGCAAAGAACGTCCCGCAACGACAGGTTATGTCGTTTGACCTCGTAGCGAACAACGAAAGGGTTACCGCATGCGACATTGCGAATGTACCGTTACCCGACTCTAGCGTTGATGTGGTTGTCTTTTGCCTCTCGCTGATGGGTACGAATTACGCCGACTTCATCACGGAGGCAAGAAGGATTCTTGTTCCAGACGGTTTGATGCTTGTGGCCGAGGTTGCATCACGGTTTGAGGACCATGACCCGAAGGACTTTGTAAGGGGAGTCGAGAGCCTTGGGTTCAACGTGGACTCAAGTCACCCTCTCACAAAAACACATCTTCAGTCTACGCCTGTGAAGGGCAAGCAACGAAGAAGAGGTGGAGGAAAGAAGAACAAAAAGAAGCACAAGACCGCCCAGCTAGAGGAATCACTGAGTAGCGCCGTGTTTTTCTATAAGTTTGCCTTTATAAGTATAAAGGACACTTCAAAAGGCGATTCAACGAGGAAAGCGGGAAAGGCGCTTCCAAAACTGGCTGCTTGTGTCTACAAGAAGCGATAGCACAAAGAGAAGTGAGGCTTTTTTGTCTGCACATAAACCGGTTATCCCAAGCGCATAATATGTGTCGAAATTGAAGTCACGACTCTCAACGCTTCCTCATATTGTTTAAATAACAGCGTGTCGTTTGGTACTCAGCTGATTGTCATAGTTAGGTATAAATACGTATACATCTCAAAAGTTAGTAAACGAAAAGGCAATGCCGAACCAGCATGCCTCTGAGCGCCTAATATTCTATGGAGCTTGGGTTCAAAATCGTTGCACCAGATCACAGTTGATGTTGGAGCCTGGGCGTAGGGCTTGTCTCGGATCTGTCGCTGAGGAAGTTGCTTCGTGCTATGGTCGCATCATTGCGTAACCTGCCGTCTCCAAGTCCTTCAAGGAGTCTGATGCGCAAATGGCGCAAGTACGTTAAATGCGATTGTTTCAGAACTCGTAGTGAATAAATCAAGTTATTGGTAGCTGAATAGGACGTCGTTTGTTCTGTTGAGCGATCGGGCAACGCTGCCATCGACCACGATCAAGATGCTCGCACACGACCGCCGAGTGTTTGTTTCGTTTCGGGATGGCACGTAAAAACGAGCCGTTGCTGGCTTGCTCCATAATACCCGCCATGGGAGCTTCGATACAACTGGTCTGTGCATGCCGGACTGGCAGTGGTACATGGGGACACAGCTCTGGTTCTGTTCAGTCTTTTAGGACTTCCGCAGTGGCAACTTGAACTTGTGAGAAAGAACAAGATGTCGTCTCTGTCGCTTGCAATTTGTTTGTCGTCGTTTCTGCTGTCTCGGTCGCTTGTGTCAGTTCTTTTATCTTCTCTGCTGAGCAAACGCTTTTGTTTGTCAACAGTCTTTCGTTTGTTTTTGCCCGTCGGCCGCGTCAATATCCGCTTCAGTCTTCAAGCCATCGTCTCTTTGTGTGTTTTTTGTGTGTTCTTTAATCTTCTGAATATTCGTTCTGCAGTTGAACTTGAACCTTTCCCAAACGTTGCCACCAAACCAGAGTTTGACTGGGCGACGTCTTGTCACAGCTCAACAAGACGAAGGGCGCACGACGGCTCCACTATCCATGCTCCCCTGACTCAGGGCTCCACAGAACCGACGAAACAGAAAGATGCTACAACGAATCACATTTCCACCATGCGACAGAGATAAGAATGCAATCAACTAGAAAAGAATACATGACAACTCATATAAAACCAAACATCGATCCAGACAAAGACTCTTCAAGGACCCCGCTTATCAGACAGCAAACGGAACATCCTACTCCGGTCCATTCGCGAGAAGACAACCAAAACCCTGTTGCAGAAACGGATAAACGAAAGGAAATCCACTCGTGTCGTGAACAGGACGGGGAAGGGGGCAGGGGGTGGTGGGTTTGCCGAAAACGACTAACTCAAGGAAGATTGAGAAAGACAAACCTGAACGAACGCAACGGTACGCTGACTCACTTAACGACTCTCCGGAGACGGCGGGGTGGTCTCAACCGGGGACAGCGGCGCGCTGCGCAGCTTTGGCGCGACGGCGGAGGACCTGATCTTCGGAGGAAGGTCGTCGCCCGCCCTGGGGCTGGGACGGCTGTCGCCATTGGGCCCATTACGACGCTCCCATCCCGGGGAGTCACCCCCCGGGGCGGCATTCTTGCGGTCGTACGGGGACCTATCCTTCCTCGGGGACGGGGTGCGGGAGCGCGGGGCGTGCCTCGGCCTGTCGGGATGGTCTGGCGGGAGCGGGTGACGGTGCGGGGACCCGGAGCGACGCCTGAACGGGGGTGGGCTCCGCGAGGCCGAGCGGCGCCTCCTGCGGCGATTGTAATAGTCATCGTCGGGCGGCCTGCGGTCGAACGGTGGGGACGGGGAGCGCGCGCGCTTGCGACCATAGTCATCGCGCGGCCTGTCCCTGTCGTCGAAGCGGTCGCGGTCCCAATCGCGGTCGCGGACGCGGTCGCGATCGTCCATGCCGTCGAAGCGGGCGCGCGGCTCGGCGTCGAAAGGGGCGCGGCGGTCGTGGAAGCCGGCATGCCTGGGCGGGGAG